TGTGTGTGTGTGTGTGTGTGTGTGTGTGTGTGTGTGTGTGTGTGTGTGTGTGTGTGTGTGTTGCAGACAGCTGCTGTGTCACTCAGGGGTCATTCTGACAGCGGCCCGACACATTTCACCTTCGACTCCCCATGGCGTCTCTGTCTTTGTCCTTTCCGTCCCCTCGTTGTAACGTGAGCTCTCTTCCTGTTTCTTCTGGTTGTGTTCAGGCGTCATTGATTTCTGCACTTCTGTTTTCTCACTCTGTCCAGAAACTGTAGCTGGAAAACACAAACCCATTCACAAAACGACCTGCAGCGTTCACCTCTGCAGGTTTTATATCAATCTGGTGAAAGCCTTTGATCGTCCTGCAGCTCGTCATTTTTTGATTTTAATCCTCTGTGAATGTGCTCAGCTATGAATTAGCTTTTTACATAACTAAGTTTAAACATCACATTTGGAACATTTTCAGAGCTGTTTGCACGACTGAAATGCCTAATTTTATCAGCAGTTTTGTAAAACAGCTTTGATTTGTTCACATTTTATGTTAAATGTGTGCTGTAGTTTGAAAAAAAGGTATTTTCAAAGATTTTATTATTTTATTATTTCAYGCTGTGAAAAACGGGCAGCATCACACATAGCGGTTATGTTTAGTTTTGTTTGTAGAGAAAAGAGCAGAGCAACCATTCAGCTTCATTTCTGTCAGAATTCGATATCAAGTAGGCCTGTCACGATAACAAATTTTATTGGACAATAAATCGTCTCAGAAATTATTGTGATAAACGATAATATAGTTGGAGACCAGTTTAAACAATTATAATGATATAACCACCCCCTGTTTACGGAAGTTTACATTAAAATTTACATAGTGTAAAAAGAAAGAAACAACTGTTGGCAATCCCAAGGCATCAGAAAACTGAAGACGCTCCTCTGGCTAAATGCCTGTTCACGGGCTTTCAGGCTACAGAGGTTAGGAGACCATCACCTGGCAAACACCTGACACCAGAGTTCACTCCTCTCTATGCTAGGAAACAAAAAAGACATGAAGAAAACAAAAAAGCAGGCAAAAGAAAATTATTGTCTTCATTTAAATTTATCTTCCTCAATTTAATTTATGATACGATAAATTGATTTATTGGTTTCTGTGACAGGCCTAATCACGTCAGTTAATTTCGTATGGTAAATATCCGTCACAGTGCCATGCATCACGCTCTGACGTTTTATTTTTAAGGCGAGCAGCTGCAGAAATCTTTGACTTATAGGACGGCAGTCCAGTCAGAGGGATCAACGCTTCATGAGTGTTTGTTTTATTGTCTGTTTTTTTGTATTTTCCAGACAGAAGGGAGAGAGTGCAGCGCGAGCTCATGCAGAGCGCATGTCTTCTGCAGCTCTATCAGCGCAGCAAAGGGAGAAGGAGCTGGTTGGGATGCTGCAGAGAAGAGAGGCTGAACACCTGCAGAGAGGTCAGTGATTCTGGTCGCAGCAGCAGCAGCTCTCTCTGCTCTCTACTTCCCTCTTTAAGGTGATCAAAAATCAAAATAAGTCAAATAATTTAAAGGTGAGCTGTGTGCTCTTTTTTACGACAAAACTTTATAGTTTTATCCTTTCATGGATTCTTTACAGCTTTATGTTTTGTTTATTTCAAGTTTTTTTGTTCAGTTTTTAAATAACTGTTAATGTTTTTTAGTGACACGTCAGCAGATCTTTGTCTTTGACAATGTCTCAGTTAAAAGAACGTTTAACATTTCCACTGCTGCTTTAGACTCAAAGAGACAACTTCGAAAGCAAAGTCAGAAACKAACAAACCAACTAATTAGCAGATAAATAAATCCTAAATATAGCTGAACTGAATATAGATATAGGTAAGTAGTCATAAGTGACTAAAGGACAGGTGGATGGTGGGCGGGAATCTTCACATATGGCTGTTTGATGGTTTTCAGCGAGAAGCGACGCTTTCTTTTTTTAATATAAAATGTCTGCAAAGCTACACAACACGTTACACACCACTACATATCAGGTTTACCATCACATGAATTGAAGTTTGGTTTCTTTGTGGTAAACATCTTTATGATGTTTTTATGTTCATTGTGTTTTTTTTTCTTTTATTAAGTAACAGTTATTAATGCGGTCACATGTAAATGGGAGTAACTGGCTTTATTAAAACAAAGTGATGCTGCAACTTTCAAACCTCAAACAGTGCAAAGCAAGATACAGAACATGAGGATGAATAAAAAATAGGATTATTATTTCAAATGACTATCCTGATCCTGCAGTGCATCAGTAAATAAGGCAGGTAGTAGTTAGATAAGTCTGAACCTTTCTAAAGTGAAAACTATTTATGCCTTTTTACTTGATGTTAATGTAGGTAAAACATTGAAGAGCCACAAGTTCCTGTCATCTGTGGAAATCAGACCAAAATCAGTCAATTCAAACATTTTCTAACCATTAACACATCTGTGAAAGTACATTTATATGAGTGTTTACTGACTTAAACACAGTATATAGAATAGTTAATAAGTTATTAAGCACGAATAAACAATGAGTTTGTTGGTTTAGGTTGTAATTAGCCTTTATGGGTAAAGCATAAATAAATGTGTTACGAATCATCCTTAATGATGTTTTCAATCATTAATGATTAAGTAAGACTAAATAAGGTGTAGTTATTATATATTTAATATAATATTTTAAGTGATTATAAGAATTGTGTCTTTGTGTAGGTTTAAGATTAGGGTCTGAGTGAGTTTTTCTATCTCTCTGCACCGGCTAAAAATTTATAGCCACAACAGGAAGTAATAGCTYGCCTTTGACAAAGTAAAATAAGGTCTTTACCTTCATGAGAGGAATTTTGTCACACTTAGTTAAATATTAAAGAAAATGTCCTAATTTGCATCGTTAATGTTTGGCTTTATTATTTTAAAGTGGGTTACTCGTTCGTTTTCTTTAAATATAGAAAACTCACTGCGTAGTTCAGGGTTTAGATTCGATGAAAAGAGTGAGCGGTGACTGGACCAAAATGAACTGCAGCTCTTGWTCAGTTTCTTCTAAAGTTTGCCGGCCTCTGTGCTTAGAGGCTGGTCCATCAGGGTGAGACTTTGCTGCGGGAGAATCTGGAGTCTTCCAGAGGAAGAATCTCAGCGATAACGACAGGAACACATCTCAGCTGAAGTGACCTCAAAAAAGAGGCGAACAAAAGGAGAGAGCAGAACGGTTTAAAGAAGAGAATAAAGCGGCGGAGGAGAGGGATGAGGGAAGGTGATGGGAGCAGAGACCCGTCTCTCTGCTCCCCGTCTCTCAGCGCAGCAGAGCTGCTGCTGTTAACACATCTGTTGCACCATCTGGATCCCACCGCACACCCGCCGCCCACCCGCCCCTCTATCCTATCTTTTTATTTACCTGTGGTTCTCTTCAGCGGCCAGGGAGCCTGCTGCTACGCAGAACAAAGATGGAGGGTATGGAAGGAAGGGGTGGGGGTGGGGGGTAAACAAAGCCTTTCTTTCTGGCGCGTGTTGGCGGCACACATGTTGTCTAAAGAGAGCTGACATCAGAGCGCAGCAGGAAGCTGTGGATGGGGAGGGGACAGAGGGGTGGATGTCCTTTAGTAACTCGCATCACTTCCTCTCCCCGCGCAGCCCAACAGACGAGCTGGATAATTAGCTTTTTCGCTCTCCAAATCCCGCCTCTCTGTCCATCCGTTTGTCCTTCCATCCATCCCCCCCTCCCTTCTTCTCTCGCTTCCCTCCCACCCTTTTTTTTTTCATGTTTCTTTTTTGAGTAAATGTGTACAGACCAACCCCTAGATGATATCAGATATTTGTTTCTGTCCATCCCCTCCCTCCCTCTCCGCCTCGATTCTTCCCTCCCTTCCTCCATCCCTCCCTCATTTCTCCTCTGTTTGTTTCCAGTGCCAGTTCTGCTGTGTTTCTGTGTCCCAGGGTTCTTTTTGGCCTACGCATGGCCAGACATATTCAAAGCCTGTTCTGCTAATTAGCATTCTTCGTACAACTTTTCCAGCACTGACAAAACTTAGTTGAGTTTATGAGCGCGCACGGCCGTCAGGTTTTTGTGGTTTAATAGTTCAACGCGCTTCTGTAGCATCTGATTTCTGTGCACTGTCCTGTGACGGCGAGTTAACTGATTGTACACGAAAAAAAAATAAAAAATTAAACCCCAGTAAAGTAGGGAGGATCACCAAAGGAATGACCTCTACATCTGTAAAGATTCTATCCAAAATAAGCAGGAAGTGCTTCAGCTGTGGCTTAGAGATCTACCATCCCTGCTTTAGGGTTTACTGCATGCAAAGAAAAGTCTGAGCTACTTTTCAAAGTCCTTGGTGGTTTTTTTTGTTGTTGTTTTTTTGTTTTTGGTTGACAGTAACAGAATGCCAGAGCAGGTGGATCATTCCCTCAAACCAAACGACAGCCATTGTTTATTTTTTTTCTCCTCCGTTCCTTTTAAAGGGTAGACATATGTTCGAAAGCGGAAYGTAGATCATTTCAAAGGTACGATAAAAGCTCTCTGTTGGATTGTTCAGAAAGAGGCCCCCCAAGTGTGGAGTAGAACATAGCAAAAAGGGTGGAAAAGGGGAAAAAAAAAACCTCTCCTATTACCCTTTTTATACACTTTATATTTTCATTCTGTTTTTTACGGATGTCTGTTTATCTCTACGTCTCCTGATGTGTGATATTAATGAGGAGACATATCTGACTTTTGCTGCTGACTTTGTCATAATAAGTGTCGGAGCTGTACTCACAGTGTGTTAAACATTTTCTCTGAGCARAGCGTTTTAAACCAAGACCGTCTTGTGATGAGAAAAGAGTTTGTTAGTGTAATGTCAGGTTTCCCATGATTCCCTGCAGTTGAAGAGATGGATAAACTCATGAGTTCCCAGAATGCCATCATCAGGAAGCTGAAAGAGGAATGCTGCAAACTGGGAACCGAACTGGAAGAACGCTTTCACAGCAGCAGGTCAGTAACTTCTTTTATTTATTCGTCCTTTATTTCACCACTTTATCATTTTCCTCGTTTTTTAAATATTTTTTATGTTCCCTCACTCCGAGGTTTGTTCCCTCGGTCAGATCATCAGAACATGTGAAAATACTACAAACTGCTTCAGTCTGACCTGTTTTCTTGTTAACCTGATGCTACAGTAGTCACAGCAGGCCTGCACAGCTATCCATCTGGGCTGCCCGTGTGTGTGCGTGTGTGTTCTCTTAGTGTGCAAGTGTGTGTTTGTGTGTGTATGAGTGTGACCCTGGGCCCAGTGTCCTGTCAGCTGTTGGAGCTGTGCTACACATTAGTCACATGACAGAGTCCAATCTGGCCCTGCCAGACCGCACTGGCCTGACCAGCCACACACACACACACACACACACACACACACACACACACACACACACACACACACACACAC